AACATGAATGGTTCTGGGGTCAAATGAGTTTATGCAAAGGCACGTCGTGGTCGGTGCCGTACATCAGTAATTTGCGCCGCCGCAACAAATTGTGAACTTGATTCCCAAAGTGCGATAGTGGAGTTTTCTGTTGTAGAAATAGGAATAATGACAAGTTTTAACTATACCTGCAGCCTGGAAATTTGTAGAACAGGACGCAGTGACCTAATAATCATCGCCATTTTGGGTCACCTGTTTGAGAAAACAAACTGCGCGCATACAAACATACAACTCACAAGATGGCGCTGTCACACAAGGAGCTGACAACACTTCTCAAGTAAAGTGGATGTTTTATTACTTGTACATTTTCATTTTCATCGCTATAGTTTGGTAGGAAATATATGTAATATCTAGGGAATCAGTTCTGGGTTTCTATGTTCTGGTTTGTATGTATTTATTGAGATATCGGTTTCGGCATTTGGGGGACTTTGCTGTGTTTACAAACTCACGACACAGTATAGCGGCACCCACAGAAGTGTATTCGTATTATTATTCAATATTTGTTCGTATACTATAGCTTGCCATGCCGGAAAATGAATAACATATTTCGATTTAAAACTTAAAATAATAACTAAAAATATGGTCATCTTTGTTAATGCCAAATACACCATTTCGAACTTTATGAGAACCAATTGTGAGAGTAGAACCAACCCACATATATCTATAACACAGTTAGCTGGCATACAAGTGTATTCAAATAAATGAAATTTAAATGTATCAATATTTACTATGAGAGGGTTGCCATCTCAAATATGGCTCGAATCTATAAGAAAAAAAGTGAAAAACAGTTTTTTCGAATAAATTCTAAACTTTCAGAGCTAAACGATCTGTTGGGGTAACATTAAGCCAGTTGCTATCAAAATTTGACTGAATTTGTAGTTTTTGTGAGGAATCTTTTAAATACGAACACCTCATCACCTGTACACTTTCTAGGGGATTTAAAACCTAAATAATCGCTCAACTGTAAGGTTGTCACTGATTGGCTTTTTACGTCTAATGCTATATGACATTTATTTGTGGTTGAAAAACAGGTATCAGTATAGTATTTGTACATGATTCACTGCCGTTTAGTTTGCTGCATGTTTGCAGAACCAATCCTGCATTTGGGTCTGTATCGGATGTTTTTGATTTGGTGAGAGGCGAATTATCAGTGTAACTTCTATTATTTGTAAAGCATTGTAACCATTTGACTTGAGAAAGTTAACTAAATGCACACAGATAATTTTACTTCTCTCTCTAAGTCTATATAATTACATTTTTCTATTTTGCAGTGTTTTGTCTGAGGAGACAGTAAATACCCACTCATTTGAAAATATAGCACAAGCCTTTCACCATTATTTTAGTAAACCGGACCATTTCAAATTAGGAATGTCAATTGTAAGTATAATCACCACTTCACTGTTATTGAAATAATATGTGGGTTATGGAAGTTAAAAAATAAGATTACAGTCCAGGTGCAGCTCAACTTCTAAGCTGTCTATCATCTGGCTTAGCTTAACTGTAGTAAATGGTCTGTTTGGGGTCCAGATTCTAGTAAACTATGGAGGTCTGGACCCCAACCAGGTTCTAACTACAGTTAGCAAGTTTTAATTGGTTTATCTGCAGCCCTATCACGAGTTGTGTAATCACAGAAATTGCACCTGAGTTGTGTACATATCATAGTAAACTACATGTAGCAATATACTACAAATTACCTACATATCTCTTTCAGTAGACTGACCATGTATCCACACAGCTTGACAATGAAAGGTGTTGCTGCTCAAAAAAATTTTTTAAATAGTGAGAGGCAAGTTGTACTCCCCACTTGAATCATAATAGAACAAGTTTGTTCTGAAAAACAGTACTAATAAAAATGTACTTTCCTAGTAAACATGTATTGTTGAGAACAAAAAAAATTAACAGGTACAGGTACTATTTGTAACACACAAAAAAAGTACTTTCCCCCAAAATGCTGAAGAAAACTATTCACTGTTTGATACAATAGAGACAAGCCAAAAAGTAGTATTAACGATATCAATGTTTAGGCAGATTACACAATTTGAAAGCAAGCTACTAAATGTTAAGTTACACACCAACCATATTGTAACTTTTATTAATCACTCGTTCTAGACTGAAAATGTTAATGCCTGAATTCATAGATTAAGCTTGGTCCATGTGAGTGTTTTCATGACACTTGACAATGACTTGGTCAAAGACATTATAGCACACACGTGTCCATCACTTTGATAAACATTCTGATGCGAGATGGCCGACTTGCAACCACTTTGTTGTCCAGCTTTATGTGATTATTTTAATTGATATTCACCTTTTACATTAACGATTTGTATATGAATGATACTTTAACCAATCTACTGTACATTACCATGTGTGCATTGGAACTCCACAGTATACTGAGAACTCGCTTGAAAAATTTCTTCCTAATTTGTTCCATACAGGGATTGCGTTAGTGTTTTGGTGTAGTAAGTTCCTATGGTAAAATAAAAAGTAATTTACAGTAAATGTTTTGCATCTTTCATGCAAATGCGACCTCTTCATGTTCTGCTGAGAAATTGGAGGTATGGGAAGCAGAGTATGGAGTTAACACAATTCTTGGTTGCATACAACTGTAGAAATTCATTTTGTCTATATTTAAAATTCGGCAAAAGAGACATCCTATTTGTAAAACACTGATATGATTCAGTCATACATACACTGTAGCCTCGTTATAACGAACTCTTTGGGGGACATACAATTAGTTTGTTATAGTGAAATGTTCACTATAATGAACCACATAATACATTGGGTTTGTTGTGAGCGGGAGACACGCTATGTGGTCATTATATCAGGAAATTCATTATAACGGTGTTCATTATATTGAGGTTACAGTGTAATGAAAGGTATCGGTATATTGCTTGTTTTATAAGTTCTTTTTGTACACTTCCTTTGCAGTTAATTATTTTACAAAACCAGGATTTATTGCCGATGTCACCTCAACGTTTAACAGCAGTTTTTTTATTGTGGGAGATGTATAGGAATGAACCTGTTGGTTTGAATCCATTTGCTCCTGTATTTTCTCACTTACTGGTAAGATAACTCTGGATATGTAATCAATTAGATAAATTAACTCATTATTTTTGCAAATTAGATACTCATGAAGCTGTCTGTTTAACCTTTTCACCACCAGTTCCAACTTTTTATCACAAATTCACAAAATAGTCCTGTTTATAGTATGCACTTTTTTTTAAATGATTGGGACAAAAATAGCCAATTGTTTAGTAAAAATTGAAAATTTGTGTCTGTTGGATTCAAAAAATGAAAGAAGAGAAAGTCCGGTGGTTAATAGGATAAGCTAGTTTTCAGCTGCATTTGCATTAATTTGGGATATATCCTCAAATACTTATGCATATTAGCTCATTTCTATGCATTTGAGTCTTCAATAATCGTGTTGGTTTAACCAAGTTTGAACTGTTTGCCCAGTAATGACTAAAAACTGTTAAAGTTGGTACAGTTCAGATAAGCAGCCAATCAGGAATTGCAATCTCCATGATGCACATGCTAACAATAGGAGGTGATCTCCCATAATGCATTGCATATATGTCCAATAACATGTTCAGTAGAGCAAATTTTGACTGCCTTAAGAAGCTCCTCACAGACACAGCCTTAATTTTTTCTCAGGCACTAAGTCACCAAGCTGATCCAACTAGATTTTTGTAATTCCATTATGACTCAAGATCTACAAAATCAGTTCTGTTAGAGAAGGCACACTGATAAAAATTGTACTATATTTTTTATTCATAGATTATTAGTTTTTATATTTTTTTTTTCATGCAGAATCCAACAGATGATGAAAGGACCAGCCAGTCACTTGGATCACTGCCAACATTATCCAAATCTGAAAGATATTTATTATCACAGCTTATTACAAGTCCACCTAGAGAGGTAAAATTGAATATACAGATAAAATAACTGACATTGGTAAAATGTTGACTGCATATGTCAAATTATCAAATTACAAACCTTTTTTTTTTTTCGCTTACAGTATTTTGAACATTACTCCTATATAGTCAACAATGTACCTAGATAATAATTTAGTATTTATACCATTTCAAACATTTAATGATCACTACCCTGTCACATGATAGTGATTTGTGTAGTATTTCAAATTTCTCTATCCCCAAATAAAAATTTATAATTAACATATTTTTTTCTGTCGTCATTTACAGCTTTTTAAGAAAATACCACGTCAGATATGTGCTATGGATATTGGCAGTAATGTGACTCCACTAGATATCACAGGTCTGCAGATGACACTAGCTGAAAGACAATCAGAAATGCCCCTCCAATCTAAAGCTGCACTCCCCTGTATTGTAAGTGATCCTGATCCAGATGCAAGGTTAGTATTGCTCAGCAGTTACATTAATACTGAATAATTACTGGTATTTAGATTTTGTGTATCCTGAATTTAGATCTGTCAGGAGGAATTACTGAAGTCACAAATTAAAATGCTGTGTGACCCTCTGATTACCTTTGTTTTCACATTTATTTTGAGAATAAACCATGACTTCATTTTTTCCAAATCACAAGAAGAAATATTTTGATAGAGAATGAGCACAATTATTTGCATCACAAAACATTTCTGCATATCTGTGATGTATCAAATTGGCTTAGATGGCTCTGACATTTTTGTATATTCTCCATAGATTTGTTCTTGTTACTATTGACAAACTTACACGTATATTGTATTCTCTGCTTACCACATGATTACACCAGTCTTGTTCTTCTACAGCCCTGGGTCTGATTTCTCAGCTGCCAATCAAGTGTTAGAATCTTTGGTTACTGGTCCCCAACCACCAATGGAGAACAATCTGAGACCAGAATTTATCAGATTAGCACCTCCTCTCCATACATGTGAGGATGAGGTAGGCAAACTATTATGTAGTATGGGTAAAGTGTGTATGGAGACTCGGGCATACAATTATTTGTGGTCCATTCCTATTTGTTTATTTTGAACTTTTATGGACGAAATCCTTGTACATGGGCAATTTATTATAAAATTCACTGATGTAGTATCCATAGTTTTGTGTACTTAATTTTAGGTTATATTGATCAACAAACTAATGAAATACAATTTGAGCAGAATTTTGTAAAAGTCGCACACTCCCTGTGACAGTTACCTTGTGGAATCATGCTCTTTTCATGTTTTTCTTGGACTTGTAATGTAAAAGCAGTTTACGCTATTCTACTTTACTTTGCAGTATGAGTACCAGCCATTTTGGTTTATCACAGGCAGATGAATTATTAATTATAATTTTGACAAATTTTGGCTTAAAATAATATTGCCTAGATGAATAAATACATAATACATGTTGAATGATATTGTACCCAGCAATGCTATTATTTACCAGTCTCTCCTACTTGTTTTCATATTAGCTTGCATGGATGAATCCAGTTGAACCAGACCATGAAATATCATGGGATATGACCATGTGTGTTAGTAACAATGCTGGAGTAGAAGTCAAAAGACTGATGGCTAAAGCATTCAAAGGTCCATTAATTTTACAACAGCAACAGCAAGTATTGAGTGAATTAGAAAAAGACCCTAAATTAGTATATCACATTGGGCTGACGCCAGCTAAGGTAAATTACTGATAATTATCGATATATTTTGAATGTATATAAAAATTTGTTAATATTTTTTCCAGTATTCCAAATATGATAGTCCAATGACAATATTCTTGACCAATCCACACTTGAGACTGTGTGCCTGTGGATTTAATCTTTGCACTACCGTTTTATACATTAGTAGTACACATAAACCAAAAATTGCATTTATTGTATTCTAAATTATTAAAATATTAAAATTTTTTCTCTTAGAGCATGTCTC